TCTCGATTAATTACACTTTGCTAAATCAACCAATTCTCCCTGATGGAAATTGAAGAGCACATTCCAGTTATCAAAAACTTCACAACAGCCTTCTACACAGAAGATTTCAGAAGAATTTTCCACGGAACATGGTGCAAGGTTTGAGCACAGCGAGGTGATCGATGAACAGTAGACCATCAACACGATATCTCAAAAGGTGCTCGGAAGTGGAATTGCACACGCACAGGTAAAGTCTGAAAGTTATACACCCGTCAACTGACTGAAGAAATTACGCAGCAGCTTCAAACTGGAGCGATTACCTGCTACTCGAGGCCTCTTGAGCTTGACGGTGATGGCAGATGACGTCATATTCTGAAGACGGTGAGGGCAGTGAAGGAGGGCCTGCTTCTGCTTATGGAGGACATCTAAGGAATATTCCGCCGTAAAACTTTCATCAACAGCGGCACCCTGTGCGACGAAAAGTTTGATGATTCAGCCATGGGCAAATGACCCTTTTTTGCCCCCTCCCACTTGTAGATTGCCTAGAATCCTTGCAGAAACCATTATTATTGCGTTTGGAGAAATTTGTGAATGAGTGAGGTACTTGGAGAGATACTGATAAAAGCCTTCGCTGGTACGCGCCAGGCCATTTACTTGGACTCAGATTCACGATGACGCTGTGAAGGCGGCTGAACCTATTTAATAAATTGCAGGGTCCAGCAGATGTAGAATTGAATGTTTTGTCCCTCAGAAAACTTAAACACTAACTAAGCCATCTCGTAGGTATGATAGCCATACGTTGTTGGCTCAAAAGGGCTACAGTTTAGGATTTATCCGCCCCAGCGCGTGGTAAGCGGTGCACCCACTCCAGCCTGAAGGAGTGGCCAAAAATGAAAGGCATAAAATCGCATTTAATTTGTAACTTAAAAATTGGCTTGTATTCCTTTTACAAGTCATGGCATCTGCTCTTGCACCACAAGTATGTATAATAAGTATTAAATCAAGCTCGCAATTCAGGAGAGTGGAAGAGCGATCAATGTTGTCTGGAGCACAAGAATCTTGAAAGAAAATGTGGTCAAAAATCTGAAGAAGGGGAAAATAAGAGTGCAGCGAATTATAGAAGAGGTAAAAGGATGCGAGTGGGATGTTAATGATGAATTGTTCTGACGACTAGGGCACTCTGTTCTTGAGCAAACGGAAAGCCATGCTGCCTAAAAACTCTGAACTGAAAAGTGCTTCTATAAAACCATTTATGTTCATGTTTGAATGCTGTATTGTAGCCTGGCCGTGAAG